GGAACATCAGCTCAGAGCAATGACCAATTATCTTCAATTATTGCTCCCAACACCAACCACGAAATGAGTTATGATCTTACGTGTAGTAAACAACATCAAGTATCTTCACCTATTGAGTGTGTAACTGATTGAAAGTCATGCGACTTTTCCCTCTCATTTCATTGATTGAAAAATTGTATATTTATATATTTTAACCATTTATTATTCACTGCATGTGTAAATTGAATATAGCCAAATGCACCGAATATGATTGAAATTAGACTGCTTATTCCAGAGATGAAAATTGCCAAAATGTTTTATTTAAATTGCTTTTGTGCCTTTTAATGGGATCCATTTTTATCAGGCATTTTTGCAATCAGGCTTTGTGAGATGCTAGTATTACTGTTCAATCAACAAAGAATATTTTAATAAAGAGGGCCGTCTTTCAGTAAAATACAAACTAGCTCATGTAAATTAGCCTATTACTATTTATTGACCCATTGACCTTCATGTTGCCTGTAGTGGGTTGCAGCTTGAATTACAAACAAAAACTATGAATGAGCTGAAAAAAACATGTAGTTATCTTGGAGGCCAAGTTCTTACGTTACTAAACCCATCTTGTATTGTGTGATAGCATCTATTTACAAGTAACATTGTGAATAAGGAGAGAAAAAAATATATGCAATTTTGTCATGACTATCGACTAAGTAAAAAGGGTATACATATCATGCCCATTTTATTTTTGTAGATGACATAGATTCAGTCTTATGGATGCGACAGTTGAAAGAGTATTGCTTGACTATACAAGGATGTTTTAATGATGAACTTTGGGATTAGAAACTCTGTAGTTGATCAATTATATCCTTAATCCATTCTCTGAACAGGTTTGTAATAAGTCACTGAACTTAGGTTTTGCACAGTTCCTTCAAAAAATGGAACAGTAAGTTATTCAATTTGTATTTAACTTATTCAATGCTCTCAACTTGACAAAGGGGATCTCTCTTCCCTCTGGATGTGGTTAATTTACTGCTATTTATTTGAACATATAGGGAACACATTTTCAAAGTCTTTCTAATGACATTTTCTTACCACGAATGTCACAACTCATACTATCACTTTTTGAAATATCTCTGTATCGTATCTTGGAAGTGCACATCGTACTCAGTTATTAAGTGTCGTTAGGGAAATGGAAGGACATGGATTTCTTCATGCCCCTGAGTTTGTGTGAGATTCTGTTATAAAAGTGTGCGCATTACTTTGTCTCTTCATGAAGAGAGGATTACTTTAAGTGTACTTTTGTGATCGTTTTTCAAAGCTTCTGATCAAAGAGTCATTTTACAAAATTTATTGCAATGATAAGATAGTTGCAATTGATTATTGACAACTGGACAAATTGTGAAATGGTTTATAGTCGTTGATGATTTGTGCCATGCATTATTGATTTAATTGGGTAAATTAGTGTATGACTATAAGAATTGTCTACAGACTAATGACTTGCTTTATTCATTTCTATTTTTGGTTGACCAGGTTAAAGGATAGAGGGCAGGTTGGTTTGTTTGTTGGTTGGTTGGTTGTTTAGGCTGGTAGTTGAATTATTCACAGCTGTGGGATAAATTGAATGTGGATTGAAATGATTCTGAGAATGAGGTGACAATTGA